GACAGATGGCGCCTAGCAATTAGCTCCCTTGTTCATCTTCTTGCTCTCGGTCGCGACTTCGACCCCCTGCCGTACTGCCCTCGTTTCAACGTCGTGCGACGGCGACGACGACTACAGCAAGGCGGTGGTGTTAGGAGCTTGGGTGGCAAACAGCATTGGCATCTGCGACTGAGTCCCTTCTAGACGTGCCTGAGTACGTGAGCTTTGATATGATTCAGTGACATTATGACTCGGGAAGCGGCGCGGCGAGTCTCAGCATCCATCAGTGTGACATTATCAATTGACATATGATGTGTTAATAATCAAACCACTTGCTTCCTTTGATAGAAGCCACCGTGCACGGCTTATTAAAAGTCAGTGCACAGTGCATGTTGTGTATGGCCCTAGCCTAAAAATATCTTGATTAGTTTGTTTCCAAGAATTAAAATACGTACTTTCCATGGCTGTACTTTCTTTTGCCTTTTCTTATTTTTGGTTCTCTACTTTCACGAGTCTTTGGAACTATCCAAACCTAACTATTAATGATGCTACAAGAAGCTAGGCCTAATACCCAAAAAAAATCTCAAACTTTAGCTTTTGTCCTATTTCTACCTTTTGTCTCATAAAAAACCTCCAACTTTAGATAATGTCTCAATTCTACCCTAAACTTTTTTTTGTCCCCTAAAAAATCCTCAACTTTAGGTCTTGTCCCAATTTTATCCTAAGCTTTTTTTTGCCCCATGAAAAATCCCAAACTTTTGGTCTTGTCCCAATTTTACCGTCCAGTCTCAATTTTACTGTAAAATTTTTACAGTCTCATAAAAAATCACAAAATTTTACTTGAGTCACAAATCTTACTCCATTAACCCTTTGTCCAAAATTTCTCGTTAACAACCAAGAGATGGAAATCTCTCAAGCAAGAGCTGTTTGAGTGTCCCAAGCACTCTTCGGCCGCAAGAGATAGAACATTCTCAAGCATGAGAGATCGATAAGCACAAAATCGTAAGGGCGATTTTGACGGAGGGTTAATAGAGATCTTTATGAAACAAAAAAATTAGAGTGAAATTGAAACTTGACGTAAAGTTGAAATTTTTTTATGAGATAAAAAAAGTTTAGGGTAAAATTGATACTGAACCTAGAGTTGAGGGTTTTTTATGAGACAAAAAAAAGTTTAGAGTAGAATTGGGATTGGACCTAAAGTTGAGGGTTTTTTATAAGACAAAAAAAAATTTAGGGTAGAATTGGGACATGACTTAAAGTTGGAGGTTTTTTATGAGACAAAAGGTAAAAATGGGACAAAAGCTAAAGTTTGAGGTTTTTGGGTATTAGGCCCAAGAAGCTATAAGTAATTGCCTGTAATAACATTACTTAAAGAAGGCCTTAATTAAATTACTGATCGATGGCGTGCATGTTGCAATAAGAAAATTCTTCGTATTGAGGTGATCATTCTTAAAAGTAGACAAGAAATTTACACTTATTTTCTCTTTTGAAAGAGGATATATAGATTCCCGAGAAACTTGTAAATTAGTATAAATTCATATTAATATTTTTTCCATTAAAGAAAATATTAGGGTCTTGGTCTGATTTTAGGGTATGAATTAAAAAAAAATCATGTTACCGAGTGTTTTAAGCCAACTTGTTGAGCATCTATAATAAGAAGTGTTTTAATCCAAAAAAGCACTGATTACAGCCAATTATGAGAAAAGTCAATATATTTACCATATCATCTTGGCATTTAAAATTAAAATCATTCGAATGTAAATAATATTAACGTGCTGTGGTTTGAATGTGAATAAAAATTTCTCAGAAAAGTCCATGATTAAAAAGAAAAATTTTCACGCATGTTAGAAAAGTCCACGCTATCACCAACTTATCTGTTTATCCTTTTTCTCTTAATACATTAATCACAAATATCGCCCCGCAAAAAATTAATTAGCACATAATCTGTTGAAATTATGAATGAATGTATTTTTGAAAAATTTAAATAATCTTTTTTTTCTGGGAAAGAAATCCGAACTCTCTCTGTCTCCCTCTCTTGGATTGATTTGCTGAGTTGTCTTTCTTTCTTTGGCTGATTAATATCGTCTTGATTAAGTTGTGATGAGCATGCACATCTTTTAATGAGGGTCCATTTATATCCACAAATTCTTGGAAATTTTAATTGATTCACTAGGTCACAATTACGTGCATCATCACATGCGAAGTCGTTCTTTTTCTTTTCTTTTCTTTTCTTTTCTTTTTTTGCCCTTACAACTTACAATCACCTGCCAGGCATCAAGTAAAAAAAAGCCCTAAACAATTAAATTAGTAATTATTTCTAAATTGATAATAATAATAATAAAAAAGCCGTAGACAAGCAACTTAGTAATTATACGAACATCAAAAAACAAAAAAAATTATATCGAATATCAATCATAGATAAAAAAAATAAAAGTCACGATCCGTTATAACCTGATCGAGATATATCATAATTAGAGATTTTGCGAGACATAAGACAATACCAATCAATTTCATCCTGAAACAATTAAATTATGTAGTTCGAAGCCACTAAAAAAGAATATAGTGGAACATTCTTTTGTTAATGTAGGATTGCTCTACAATAAAATCTCTCAGTTCATCCCTTCTCCATAAGTTGACGTTCCTCCACACTGAACACGCAAACCAGCTATACGACTGAAACACAACGGTCACTTCTCTCTCTTCTCTCTATCTCTCTCTGTTTTGAATAGGAGAGCAGCAAGAACAGAGACATACATTCCCTCTGTGCACTGTCTCTCTTTCTCCGTTGAAGCTTTGGGCTTCAACGAATTGCAGAGCAACGAGATCTTGGTGGATGGCATTGTGAATCGGTGAGTGCTTTCTCTCTCCAATCTCCGTAGTTTTTTTTTTCTTTTGGGTCGAAAGCTCTGGGGATCTATCGAAATCTCCGTAGTTCTGTGGTGCCCGATTGTTTCTGTTCTCTGTTCGATGAAGAAGCGCCCCACCTCTCTCTCTCTCTCTCTCTCTGGAATTGCTCTGAAATTATCCTGCGACACCTTCTCGTGATTTTTTTTTTTCCTTCCATTGTTTTTTTGTCCGAGTTCGTCTGGATTCTGACATTCGGAGGTGACTCTCAATTACATCCATTTGACGGTGTTCCATTAGGGCAAGACATAAAAGGGAAAAGGGAAACAGGGCAAGAAAGAAGCCATAATGTTGTTTGAGGAGGAGGGAGATGGAGAGGGAGAGGGAGAGGGAGAGGGACGTGTTTACAAACCATCGACTTCTTTCCTTTTTCTTCTTGTTTTACACGATGTCATAAATTATTTAGGCGTTGATTATGCGGCGGAAACCTAGGTTTACTATCAATCTACTGTTTAAGACATTCAACCAACTTAAACTGTCATTTATTATATTTATTTTTAATTTTTTTGCTTTAATATATGCTTGAATCTTGGAGTTCTTCTGTGTTGGTGACAGCACCTGGTTTTTAAATAAACTCTTCCAACAAATCAAGATCCTTGCTCGGTGATCAATCCATAATATCTTTGAAGCCATGGTGGAATTGACTTTTATAATATCTTTCGTGCAAATTATTGGCTTATAATGAAGAATGTTTGTTTTTCCACTTTCTTTTTTAATTTTTCTTGTCTCTCTTTTACCAAGAATTCTTGCTCAAATCTGTACAGGTCAGGTTTTTCTTTTCTAATTGTTGCTGTTTCTACTTTTTGTGGGATTTATACACAAAAAAATAAAAAACTTTGAGACTTGGGTCGTCCCAAATTACCTTTAGAACTTATCCCCCAACGAAAAAGCACGTAGAATCACCTACGAGAAAAGGAGGAAGAGCATGATGAAGAAGGCACAAGGGTTTACCACCCTATGCGGCGTTGACACATGCATGATTATCTACGACCCCGCAGGATCCGCCACCGCCACCGAGCCCGAGGTTTGGTCCGCGAGCCCTGAGAAGGTCAAGCGCATCATTGAGCGGTACATGAGCGAGGGGTGGACCACCATGCCAAGAGGATGGTCGGGTTGCCCGAGTTCTTCGTGAACCAGAATAGGAAGGTCGACACTGAGCTCGCGAAGGCCCGACTAGTAAACTGGGAGGCCAAGTACCTGATCTTGCAGGTGCTGCTTGGGGGCCTCTCCAAAGAGGACCTGAGGAGGCTATTGGGCTCTCGAAGCCACAAGCTTGAGGCGGCCATGGCGAGGCTGGTCGTAATGAAAGAGGACGCCATGAGGAGATCATCGAATCATGCATATGAACATCACGTACACGTAAATGATCATAGGTATCATCATCATTACATGTGCGGCTCGTTTCAGGACCACTACCTTTTTGGTTATGTCCCGCATGGGCAAGGCTTTCATTTCACCGCCTCGGAGGGGATGATACTTTTGGAGACGTGGTCGTATGGCCCCATCATGGGCAACATGCCACTGGAAGGCACTCAGAGCTTTGTCGGTTGAATTTCAATGTGTAGATATGTCAATACTTTTACTATAGCAAGGTTCTTACGGTTAGGAGCGAAATATTTTGTTTCTCTCCTCATTGAATTGTTCATATTAGATAGTGAGGAGTCTTGTAATTTTTTTCTTTTTGGTCGTCCAAAAAGATGGACAAAAATGAAAAAAATAAATAAAACTTGGCCGATTGTCGTTTTGCTCATTTCCTGTAACCTCTCTGTGTTTCTTTTTCTATTATTCAACAAGTGGCAATAGAAGAGCCGCGAGATGATTTGCTTCAGAACCACAAACTCAGATAACATGTAAGATTGATATAATAAAGGCTTTCAAGGACAAAGATGAACACAACAGTGTCTCTGAGTCATATTCTGCTTCATACATATTCAGTTCATTGCGCCCAGCCTCATTATATAGTCCGGCTCCTCTTCGACCGACACCTGAGAGTCGTCGACAGAGGACTTCTTGCTACCATTTTTCCCTTTAGCGGACATGCTGGCCCTTATCTTAAGATGCATTGTTAAAAGTCACTTTAGTGTTCTCCACCACTTCTTCGCTGTAATCTTCATCCCTTCTCCTATCATCCCGGTCCCAATACCTTGAATCCCGCCCATGCGCTACCGAACCCCGTCCAAATCCAAGGACTTTGACGTTCTCAGTTCGTGTTACATTTGCAAGGAAGTCAAGGTCGCTATTCAAGTCATCTTCTTCGCCTCGGTAACTATTTCTTTCTATCTGCCGAAAAACGTTATAAATAGGAAATGAATGCTCAAACACACAATTTGAGTAACCAATATGGTCAAACTAAACTGCGTAAATAGTGCTTTGACAGTAATGCTACAGATGATGTCATAGATAGTGTGCTGATCAAAAAGAAAAATTGCCGATCGTCTGTATAGAGCCCAACATTGAAGCAAACCAACATTACCCTTGTCTCTATCTTCTGAACCAAGGGCAAAACTCTACCTGATTTTGAGCCAGATATTGCTGTTGGAATGACACCTCAAGATACATTTTTTTGTTCCGGAGGAAACATAAACTCTTTAAAATGCCTATTAATTTGATAGGGTCGTCAGGCATTCAATTTTACGACCTTAATCGAATCAACAAAAAATGGAAACACCTAATGCGACCTCCACAACCAAAGAGAGGATGCTTGATAAAGCGAAGCCATTACTAGATCACAAAATGCCAAGACCTGTTTCGCTTCAAGCGCCTTAATTCATACACAAGCCAACCCTCAGCAATCACAATCACCAAAAGACAAACACATCCAGGGAAAAAAAAGAACCGCACACTCCGAACCGGAATTGACCTTCGCCGTCCCTGGAGAGGCAATAGTAAGCCAACACCATCACGGCTAGACCCAGAGCGAGGGCGACCGCAACAGCACCAATCGAGCACCGCCGGCCCTTCTCGGGTCGGGAAAACCGCCGGCCGCTGCCGGGCTTGTGCGGCTGGGGGCGGCTCGAACCCCGATCGGGGCGTGATCCAGCATGCCGTTGGAGTAGCGGAGGTCGTGATCCCAGTACCCGAACTGCCTGTACTTGGCCATGGGGGCCTCACTCCGCCATTGCCGATTCCACGGAGGCATCGGGTCTGAGTTGGTTCTTCATGCATTATTGCGTGATTTTAGCTCTTCCATTAGTTGGTTGAATTTCAATATGTAGATATGTCTATACTTTTACTACAGCAAGGTTGTTACTGTAAGGAGCGAAATACTTTGTTTCTCTGCTCATTGAATTGTTCATATTGGCAAGTGAGGAGTCTTGTAATTTTTTGTTTCTGGATGTTCAAAAAGATGGACGAAAAAGAAAAAAATAAATAAAATTTGGCCGGTTGTCGTTTTACTACAAGAATCTACGAGTATTTGAGATAAATGTGCTTTGCTGGAAAATCACTGACGGTACTATTCTAATATACTGCCCTTATTTATGTATCTATTTGTATGTAATAAAAATAGGCATATCAACTGTTCATACCATAACGTTCCGTGAACATTCTATGTTTTCCTTGTTGTGCTAAATTTCTTTGTGCATAAAAACACTCATTTTCGGATGTAAGAGGAGAAAAAACAATAGTCAATGGAGTCAATTGTGGATATAAGTTTCGATCAATCATTCTATTCCACACTTCAAGGGCATAATTATTTCGCGACGATGCAGTCGAACTCGTGGATCATTTGTGCTTGTGTTGTCACAATAAAAGGGATAGTAAGTACTAGAGTCAAATACTGATACTTGGTAGATCAACTATCAACCGAGAGCTCACGACGCAGATCCCCCTTGTTCGCATAGGTCTAGTAAGGTGAGGGTCTGCAGAAAAAAAAAAAAAAAAAACCATCCAATGGTGTGATTTACGGCCAGTTTTCCTGCACGCGCAGCTATAGCCAAGAACTACCACTACTCATGAGTCTATTACTAACTTAGGGTGCATTTGTTTGAGGGAATTTGTTTTCTGGGAATCCATTTTTGAACTTTCACCTGTTTGGTTCGCTGAAAATGATAAGTCAACTGAAAACACTTTTCGATCAAGAAAAATATTCATGTATAAAATTAGGAAATCGAATTCTCTAATCTAAGAAGGTGAAAACACTTAGATTAGAAAAAATCAATTTTTTTTGTTTGCCTGAGATGAAGTCATGAGATTGAAATCATTTTCCAATGAAATCCAAACATCAGAAAACAATTTCCATCATATATCACCAAACAAAGGAAAACTAACCGTATTCCTGGAAAATGCTTTCCGGGAATCATTTTCCTTTATCATTGAGTTTTCCGTGAAACAAACAGACCCTTAGTATATGCAAGAGCGTTCGAGATCACAGAACCTATGCGTACCTCTGGACCTAAGAGCTCGGGACAAAACTACTAATGATGCAAGACTGGCCTAAACGAATCTTCCTCTGATGCTTTACCGAGTTTCCTAATGCGAATCCTCACCCATCGAACTCGGGTGGCGAGAAAAGAGAGAAAGAGATGCTCCAGCGAAAAACAACATGGCGAGACAATAGCATGAGTAGCCAAACCAGCATCAGTGTAGTTATAAGCTGTCACCAAGACAGTAGCTTCTTTCCTATCACCTCGTGAAGCTCTAGCTATTCCAGTAACATTGGCACATCATGGCCAGAGCAGTTGGATGTTTTCCTGAACTATTCTAGTTAATTAATAAAGGGTTGAGATAGCCCTATACTGTAGGCGACAAAATGTAATTAATGTAAAACGTAAGGAGCAAACTGGGGTAGAATGGAAAAATTAACGGGTTAAAGTGTAATTTTTGTCCCTCATGAACGCACGACAATCCCACCTAATAATGTATACGGCAAAACATTATTACCATCTCTGCTTAAGATAACTCTCGATCTATTGATATTTTTCTCCTTTGCAAATATCCATGCAGTTTCATCGTTACACGTGGAGCGTGGTCAACTCTAGTCGAGTTGACTGTACGACACATGCAAGCCGGGGTCCACCTCGGCTTATAATACTGAGATTCGCGCGAAACGTGGGAAACTTATTTTAAGGAATGACTCCTATCATACAAAAGCGGTATTAGATCCAATAGAGGAAGATCTAAACTCACTTTTTCTTTTAATGTATTCTTAACGTGGAATATTCTGCTAAAGACTAGTTTTTATTAAAGAAAAAGAAGTTTGTCAAGAAGTTTCCTAATGCTCGACTTCTTCAATTAGAAATGAAAATATACATACATATATATATATATATATATATATATATATATATATGTGTGTGTGTGTATACATGTATATATATAAACACATACTTAAGAAAGGAATAAAATGTGGGTTAATTGCAACATAAATGAAAAGGACTTCTACTTCCCAATGTAAAAAGGTGTATCTTTGAAATGACAAAGACTCGTTCGAAGATTCTAAGAGTTGACTTTGTAATCACAAGAAATTAATCACTACCGAGCATGTTAACCCAATAATAAAGGCCTCAATCGGCTTCATGGGGTCAAAGTTGATCAATTTCGACCTATCAGTCTGTGCCGCTTCAGTTATTAGATGATTGCTAAAGTCCAGGCAAACAGATTAAAGCCTTGGCTTACCGAACTTGATTTCCTTGAGCAAAGCGCTTTGTTAGAGATAGCCAAATTGAAAGTGATAGCTTGCCTTGGCTTACCGAACTTGATTTCCTTGAGCAAAGCGCTTTGTTAGAGATAGCCAAATTGAAAGTGATAGCTTATCAGTTTGTGGGCTTATAGCAGACATTTATCCAAGCCCATGGCATATCTGGGCAGTTATAGAGGATTGCAAAAGAGTTTGACCCAGTTTAAAAGAACTCCGTTGCTCCACTATCTATGAGAAGTAAATCATGTGACGAACTGAATCGCTCAAACCTGTCGTAGAAATGCCACCCCCTCTAATTGGATTACTAACCCCACCCCCTTCTCCCAAACTCTTTTGAGATCTTTTATATTTCGATATTGAACATTTTTGTTTTGATTATAGCACTTAATGAATGAAGTACTTTTTCGATTAAAAAAAAACGTTGCCACGTCAACTACGTCATAGAAGGCGAAATAAGCTGTCAGATCACATGAAGAAAATAGTGGAAGCAGGCTCAAATAGATTATGCTCAACTTTATCAAATTTAATATTTGTGGATGATTCCACATTTTTCTTGGATGGGACTATTAATGAAATGCCAGCTGCCCACTACGGTACTAAACTACTATTGCACGACTTCGGGGACGGGCTATTCATCTCAATAATACTTGGGGATACCACTGATTTGGGTGGATTCAAAGAAACGGATGCTATTGCTAGGGTGAATAGGAAGTTAAAGCTATTGTAAACACCTAATTTTTTTTTTATCTAATGTTTGACAAAAGTTGACCGACGATATTGCCCTATTATAAGTTCGATCGAAGGGTGAAGCTGGGCCTTGCTCATAAAGGGCTTTTGGATGATATCAAATTTGCCCAAATCGGAAGGTCGAATCTTGAGATATCGCAGTTTTCTATCCCGACCGTCTAATCGTGAGGCGTTCGGATTTCCTTGATTTGATCCGCTCAATTAATTCCAACTTAGAAATAAAGTGGTAAGCTTTGCGATGCAACAAGAGTCACAGCGATCGGCTTTTTACCAATGAAAATATGATGAATTTTCAGTTCAGCCATCCGTTTAGCCCGATTCTCGGAAATTTGTAATCCCGATACTGTTTGAAAAATCGATCCCCATTTCCAGAAATAGACATTTGCAAGGCCATGTGAGTCTTCTGCGTAGCCATAGTAATCTCGCGCGAGATTCCGCTTAACAGTCTGGCGTGCCGAACCAGTCGTCCCTTCTCATAATTTTTTATGTATAAAAGAATGATATGTTGTCAGAATAGTTATTTTAAGCCAAATCATTGGTTTTGGCAATTAATCCCCACAATAATGCACTTTGTACAAAGAATGTCTATATCAGCGTGCATGATACAGGTGATGCGATTTTATAATATAGTGAAAAATATCATTTGTTACGATGACTCGTGAATGATCAATACACTCAGAAATCAATGTACCTATTAAAATATATCTCGAATTTGAGCCCGAAAAAGAAAGTTTCCTAATTCAAGTAGGTTTTCTATTTTGAATAAGTTTTCTAATTGAATTATTTCCTAGTCGAATGGTTTCCTAGTTTGAGAACGATTTTCATGTTTATATAAGAAGTAGATGTTCTTTGTGAAGAGTATCAAAGACGAGCTTCTACTTGTGAATTACAACCTGAAGATATCCAAGTGTGTTGAAGCCAATCAAATCTTGTGAATAAGATTTGTGTTAATTCCTTTGTGAGATTGAGAAATTATTTCGTGAGGAATTGTGAAGTTAAATACTGTGTTAGTTATTGGGTGTAATTGAGACTTGGGAAACACTAAGAGTGTTTGAGTGACTCGAGTATGGTCGTAATCTCCATTGTATTACTTAATCTATAGTGGAATTCGTTGCTGCTATCCCCGTGGACGTAGGTCACTACGATCGAATCACGTAAATTTGGTGTTTTATTTATTTTCTTGTTACGTCTATTTTAGTGTTTGATCGCTTGCTTCCGCAACAATACTTAAACACGTACATATGTACGTACATAAATACACACACCTGTTCGTGTGCATAGTCCAATATATTGGCGGAAGGACAACATTCGAAAAACACTAGTATGAGCAAAAAATGTGGCATCTATATGTTCCTAGAGAGAATAATAGGTGTAAAATTCATGCACAACCATTGTTGATAACTTTTATGGGAAAAGTATTAAAAAAGTTCTAAGCCTATTGCATTGGAACCAATTCAGTCCTAAACTTTTCACTTTGATCAATTTAGTCCAAAAATATTCACATTGGTATCAATTCAGTCCATCCGGCCAATTTTAGGCCAAAAATCGCTAACATGGACGCTGACTGTCCTAGGTGGCATGGCCGGCGTCGACGTGGATATTTTTTAATCATATTTTATAATATTTTTTGTTCTTTTCTTTTGTATTTTATTTTTTTCCTTCACCTTCATCAGCCTCTAGGCGAGGGTCTTCACGCCCTCGCCCACGGCCCTCGCACAAA